GAGAGAGAGAGAGAGAGAGAGAGAGAGAGAGAGAGAGAGACAGAGACAGAGACAGAGACAGAGACAGAGGCGAGTGAAAGAGACACATTGGTGGGAAGTTGACTTTGCAGGCGTCGGTTTCACGCGAACCGCAACACATAACACAAAAAAAAAACGAACGCGGCGCAACTGCTGTGCTTGAAATTTGCTCGCCGCTTCGCCGCTCGCGCTCTGCCTGAAACCTCAACACACCTTGAACTTGCTGCTGCTCTTTCAGCGGGGAAAGCCGGTGACAAGCGTAGGCTCGAGATGGATTATAATGAGTGGCATGGATCCCGCGTCGACCCGCTGGGAACAGCGCACGGACACCTTCCTCGTTTCGAAAAGTGGGGGATGGCGTCCAGCAGCAGGGTAGGTCTAGTCTAGCTGGTGCTGCGGGTCGCGCGTTGTAGAGCAACATGCCCGCAAATCGTACAGCAGCAACGGCGTTCGGTTGAGATAGCAGCCAGGCCTCGCGCTGGTCTTGTATGTCTGCGGTCTGCGTGTAGCATCACATGTTTCCAAAGGTTGCAATGTTGTTGTCGATAGAAGTGTGGTCCTCTGCGTAGTTTTTTCGCCTCTCGCCTAGGGCTGCTTGTTGATATTGGGCGGCATCTGATTCGCGAATGGGGTGGGTTTGCCGCCGCATGCGCAGGTCGCGCCGTCTGCAAGGGCGCGAAATATATGATTTCGCCGCCTCCGGTGACACGAACAGCACGAACAGCACTGGTGGGGCCAACGTAAAGGTGAGACCAACGAATGGGCAGCAGTGCAACAACATCGTCAATCGAGTGGGCTGTGGACCTTCGCTATGTCTCTCCGCAGCAGAGAAAAAGGATGCCGGTTGGGAGCCATAAGCATTGGGCTAAAGTTTGGCAAGAGCTGTTGTTTTGCTGAATGGGTGAGACCTTTTTGCGAGCGCCTCATCTTGCCCTTTCATCCCACGGTAGCGGCTGTTCGCGTTTGGGCATGGAGCAGCTGTTGAGCATGCGGTACTGTTGTATCCTGCGGTGGTGGACCGCTGATGGAGGCCTCGAATGGTTTCTACCTTACGCAATCGCTGGCCGATGACATCGTGAGTTTAGAGCACGCGTGCCGTTTAATTTGTCAATAGGATATATATACCCCCGTTTGACCGCAACGCATGTATTCGCCATCCACAAAGCGAGGACTGTTTTTTTCTGCAGACTTCTTCGAAGCATTTCCTATTTCTGAACAGAAAAAGCACACAGATGGCCACCGCTGTTTTATGCTTTGATCGTTCCACCTGCTCCCACCCCGCAGATCGCAGTGGTTGTGCTGGTGGTTGGGTTCCTCGCGTTGGTGCTCTGGAAGTGCTGCAGGCGAAAGCGAACGACTCTAGATGGCGAGAACAAGGCGCGGGTGCGCACCGGCGCGGCCCGCGACGAAGCGGAAGGCGCCGTAGATCTTGAGCAGGGGGGATCGCCGGAGGTGGTGGTGGTGGTACCGAACGCCGCCGAGTCTGCGAGTGCGCCCATGCTGGAGGAGGGGGACGCAGCAGCAGTAGTGTTGCCGACGACGGTACCGCTGGCGACCGAGGTTTCCAGAGCCGCCGACATCGAGGAGGGTGGAGCACCAACGACACCCCCTTTTCCCGCCGATGTCCAGGGAAAAGATGACAAGCGCAGCGTTAACGAACAGCGTACAGAACTTGGTGCAGCCGCGAGCCCTGGGGCGGAGTGCACCGTAGAGCCGGTACCGGCAGCGACAGCGGCAGCACCTCCACCAAGCGACGACATCGACCAGACGCCGCGGCGCCGGGGCCTGCAAAAGCGGCTGCGAGCTCTAGCCCAGCGGAGAGCCACCCTAGAAACGGGCGCAGCCGAGGCGAGTCGCCGCGAGGGTGAAGCCCAAGAGAAGATCGACGAGCTTTCAGCTTTGCAGGCCGCCGCTACCAACCGCCTCAACCACGACAGAGCGGTGGGCGAGGCGCGGCAAGATGAGCTAAGGAGCCAGCTCCGCGCGGAGAGGGCGAGCGATCACTCGGAAAGCTTGGAGCGCGCCGAGATTGAGGAATGGGAGAGTCGCGCACTTCGTGCGGAGCAGCATGCGAGCGAGCCTGAGCACGCCATTGCCGAACAGGAACATGAGGTGAGCTCCGGGGGGTATTTTCGCCAGATTCGCATGTGTAGCCATTGCTCCTAGGCATGTACTACAGTTCGAGAGCAGAAAGGACGGAACGTCCTTTCTTGCAGCCCTCCATGAAATCTCAGTTTCGTCAAGGGTCGTAGGCACATACTCCGGAAAAAAGAGTTGACGTGCCGTCTTGGGAGGTAACCATATTGCCGTACAACGAAAATTCCAGCAATAGACATGCTGTGCATCACATGCCCTGGAGGCCTGTGGCGTGGATCCTGGTATGTACGCCGAATGCTGTCTTGATCAAAGGCAATATGTGCTTGTGTCATCCCGTCGTTGCGGTACGGTATGTAATATGTTCGAAATTACCGTTTTGTTGGGGTCACGTCACATCTCAGGTGTTCCCCCCCCACCCCCGTCTTACCATGGCATTTGCCGAATCATGGGCGCATTTTCTGGCCTTCGGCTGCCGCATGACTGTGTAAATGTGCAACGAACACAACCGCGCCCTCTGTTTCGTTTCGTGGGGCAGGCCGTCGTTCTGGAAAACCTTCTGTCGGAGGAGCAGCATGACGGAGAGAAGGGGGACGAGCACGGGGCTGCTGCAGGACCAGCCCCGGCAGAGGTCGACCACGCGGAGGCAATGGGCCTCGCGAGGAGCGCAGGGACGGCAGCGGAGGGCAGCATCCAGGAGCTCTTCGTGGCGAACTCCATCGAGGAAACCGGCATCGCCGAGATGGCGACCACAGTCAAGCACGTGATGGGCGTCGTGAGCCACGATAGGGAGCGCCTGACCGTGCACAGGGGCCTCGGGCAGGGAAAGTGTGGGAAGGTGGAGGAAGTCGAGTTTGCTGACTTTCCCGAGGAGTACTTCGCGCTCAAGACCGTGGCGAAGGTGATCGTGTACTACGTAGCTCGTGTGTGCCTAGAGATAAGATGACGGCCGTTTTTTTTTTTTCGAGAGCCTGGCCTGTGCTAAGAGGGAAATGATCTTCTTGCCCCTTCCTTGCCTGCCTTCGCTGCCATCCCTCTGTCGATCGAGCTGAAGCTGAGAACTGCAGCACTGATTGTCTGTATGGTTCGGCTAGCAGCTACGCTTGACAACGCTAGTACTAACCACCCCCTTTGCTTCTCGGTGCCTCCTGTGACTTAGGGAGCTGATGAGTACACGAAGCACGCTGCTTTGGTCGAGATGATGGTCTTTGCCCGGTGAGACTACTATACTAACGTGTTGCCACAGTTTTTAACCCGCGGAGAACTGAGCATCACGGTGTATTGAAGTTCATGGTAGGTGATTAACGTTGTCGTTGGCTGAGGGTACGAATGGGTACGAAAACATCTTCTGCACTGCAGCATTGCTCCACTTCCGTACCCCAGGACATCCTCTCCCGGCGATGCACCCTCCCTCTTTTTTCGGTGTCCACCAGGCTAGCTGGACAGCCCCACGACAACGTGCTCGGCGCTCTCGCCGTAGACGATTCATCCCCCTTGATGCCGATAATGATGCCCAAGGCCACGGACGACCTGGAGACTCGCATGAACAACGACTCTCTCGCCATCGGGGACAAGTTGAGGCAAGTACTGACAGCCATATCTGTGTAGCACAAATAGGCCAAACCAAAAAAGTTACCTAACGTTTTTGTTTGATGCACCGTGCACTGCTGTAACCGTGGTGTGTTATTCATCTGCATGAAAGCTTGAGCTTCAGAGCACGCATGCTTCTACTTGAACGTTATCGTTTGTTTCTGAATACAGGTGCCTTGCTTCTTTGCTCTGCCCTTGTTTTCGTTGGACCTGGAGTGACCTGAACACCTTTTCCTTCCCTGCGGCGCCCCCCTCTTCCCGCTTCTTGGCTGACGTTCTTATGTTCTCTTGTCCATTGCGTGCATAGACTGGTGGTTGACCTGGCGCGGGCCACGCGACACCTCCACGGCATGAACATCGTGCACCGAGACATCAAGCCGGGCAACCTCCTGGTGTTTGAGACGGAAGAGCTCGGGCTGCACGGCAAGCTGGCGGACTTCGGCTTTGCCAGAGGTAGGTAAACTTAAGAGGAGCGGCCAAAATCGGGTACACCCGGCCCCAATCCGGCCATTATCGGGCACTTTGTTTTACACAGTCGGCAGTGCCCTCCTGGCGCCATCTGATTGGCCGACGCCCGCCCCTACCCGGCCCTGACCCTATTCCCACCGGGTGCACCCGATCTTGGCTACTCACCCCCCGGAGGGGTACCCGATCTTACTCTCACCTACCCGAAAATGGCTGGGCTATTCGACCAACAGACCACCAGCAGGCCACGCTCACGAACACACATCACCAACACCCCGCACTCGAGTTCCGACGCTTGCGACGGCGGGCGGAGGCGGACCTAACACGGCTAACGCGACGGAACTCTCGTATGAAGTGGATCTCTCTCCTGCAAGACTCGTCCTGCAACCCACCGCAAACGGCGGAACTCTCTCGGTTCTCGTTTCGTATCGGAGAGGGAGGAGAGAGCGGGCCAGGCGGGAGGCGGTGGATGAATACCTCTCAATGCCTCACGTGATCACTTGAGCTGCACACAGATACATGACGCAGCTCAGATATGTCCACGGAAGCATCAGGCACAGAAGCATCAGGGTGTCACTTTCGTCTGGAATATATGTATAGATAGACACATCAAGACCGGAGATGTATGACACGGTGTTGTGTACGCAGAGGGTCGTCCGTACACAGCAATGCAGCAGCAGCAAGCAGTGGATGCCGTGGTTATGTCTCGATCAAGACCGGAGACATATGGCACATTGTTGTGTAGGAAGAGGATCGTACAGTAATGCAGCAGCAGCAAGCAGTGGATGCCGTGGTTATGTCTCGATCAAGACCGGAGACATATGGCACATTGTTGTGTAGGAAGAGGATCGTACAGTAATGCAGCAGCAGCAAGCAGTGGATGCCGTGGTTATGTCTCGATCAAGACCGGAGACATATGGCACATTGTTGTGTAGGAAGAGGATCGTACAGTAATGCAGCAGCAGCAAGCAGTGGATGCCGTGGTTATGTCTCGATCAAGACCGGAGACATATGGCACATTGTTGTGTAGGAAGAGGATCGTACAGTAATGCAGCAGCAGCAAGCAGTGGATGCCATGGGACCTCAGGTTAAACAGCGATAATACTTCCTTGACATCGACCTCTCGTGAGTACGTGGGGGAGACAAGGAACTGCGGGCTTGCCACAGGAGATGGGGAAAGATAAAGAGAGTGGTGGTACACGCAGCATGAACGCTGTCATAAGATGGCTGGTGGTGAAGTAGCACGCGCCTTGCGCGAGGACCGTGGTGTTCTCTGCTTCGTCGCTCATATTCTACCGATGCCAGTCTACCGTTCAGGCACGAGTGCCGAGATCAACCACGAGAGACTTGGTGGGTAGAGGAGCGAGATCTACTTGCAGGAGCGAGATCTACTTCAAACGAGAGTTCCGCCGCGTTTGCCGCGTTAGGTCCGCCTCCGCCCGCCGTCGCAAGCATCGGAACTCGAGTGCGGGGTGTTGGTGACGTGTGTTCGTGAGCGTGGTCTGCTGGTGGTCTATTGGTCGAATAATNGGTAGAGGAGCGAGATCTACTTGCAGGAGCGAGATCTACTTCAAACGAGAGTTCCGCCGCGTTTGCCGCGTTAGGTCCGCCTCCGCCCGCCGTCGCAAGCATCGGAACTCGAGTGCGGGGTGTTGGTGACGTGTGTTCGTGAGCGTGGTCTGCTGGTGGTCTATTGGTCGAATAATCCAGCCATTTTCGGGTAGGTGAGAGTAAGATCGGGTACCCCTCCGGGGGGTGAGTAGCCAAGATCGGGTGCACCCGGGGAATAGGGTCAGGGCCGGGTAGGGGCAGGCGTCGGCCAATCAGATGGCGCCAGGAGGGCGCTGCCGACTGTGAAAACAAGTGTACCCGATAATGGCCGGATTGGGGCCGGGTGTACCCGATTTTGGCCACTCCTCTAAACTCAACAACAAATGTTGGCAATTATTTGTCTTGAGAGTTCCTAACGTTTGTCGGTGCGAGTATATGCAGCTCGTCGTCGCTGATTACGCACATGTTTTCGATTGTGCTGTACGTGGGTTGAAAGCGTATCGGTGCTTTATCTAATTGGTCGAGCCGGCGTGTTTTTTGGAAGTGAACAGATGCACGCGACATGGAACGCAAAACCCCAGGCCATCTATAGAAGGCGTTCGGTGATTGCATGTTTCGAAAACGTCGAGAGCTTTCGCGGCACAATCCCCCCACCCTCGGATAGTGAGTTGATTGAGTGTGGCGATGCACGTTCGAGGACAGTGAGGAGATTGCCGTTACCTATCATACCATAGGAGAAAACAATGTTTGCGATACGATGCACGACAGGGAAGAAATTCTCGTCCAAAACATATGTAGAAACGCGCGACTAAGCACCGCAAGTCGGTCTTGACTCTCCTTGGGTAGCAGGGACATTGGCTTGCCTCGAACGGGTGTGTCACTGTTTTCACTTGGCTAGACCAAGGAAATTCCCACTTTTGCGCTCCCCCTGTGCATTTTCTCGAACTGTTGTCCTACTTCGGCGTGCACGTGCTACACAAACACGACCCCCAGAAATCGGTGAGAGTTGCCCGGCGATGATGGGCACCCCGGGATACATGGCATTTGAGAGCATGTCGAGGGGGCCTGTGGCGGGTGCGGCGGGGCAAGACGTAGTGGGCGTGGCGATGGTGCTTCTCATGGTCTGCCTGAGGAAGGAGCTGAGGTCTCCCAATCTGTACGCCAACATGGTGAGAGGAGGAGCCTGGGTGCAGTATTGTCGTGTGAACGCTTTTACATTCTCCGACAGGTGTTCGCCACGAAATACTTCGGGCACGACATCGTTCCTTGTCATGTTGTGTACCCTCTTCCGAGTTATCCTTGTGTACGTTCGGCACGTGTACATATGTGGCTATAGGTCGACCGACGGTACAGCAACCAGTTTCATTCGGACCGTACAAGTAGCGCTGAGTAACGGCAACTGTTTTTCTGTTGCCGGTCGCGGCCGCATGACATGCACACAGGCCCTGATCAATTCCGACGAGATGACCAGGCTGAAGGAGCTGTTCCAGCGCATGACTCTGGGTGAAGACATTTCGGCGGAGAAGGAATTGGCCCAGGTAAAAAATGTGGCATAATTGAATGTGCTTGAGATAGGTCTGGTATGTAGAGCCTTTTGCTTGTGGCCGGCGGCTCGTTGGCGTGGGTGATCTTGCTCATGAGACTTTCCGGTCGGCATGCACTGATAGATGGGCGTGCTACGCTCTCCCCTGCTCCCTGCATCCACCGCGTGCGTGTGTGTTCAATTTCTAGCAGAAAAGTTGGAGTCTTGTGGTGAAGGTGTACCACACCAAGCAAGGAACGTTCCGCAGTACCTCCTCTACTCCCTCTCCCGACGCGCTCTCTCCTCCTCCCCTTCTCTGTACTGATCTTGCTTGGTGTATGCCGCACGTTTAGATCGACATGACCAAAAGGACGATGGCGGACGGATCATTCGCGGCGATGATGCTCTCGGCCGACAAGCTCGACCCGACCCTCAAGTCGCCTGAGATGGTGAGGGTAGTGCCGCCCGTTCGCAGTCTGCCCTAGGTAATAATGTAGAGCTCTATGAGAAAGAAGAAAAACGCTCTGTGGCCTTCTTCCGGTGTTGCTCCGGCTGATGCATTCAGAAATTATTCCGTAAGGTGTATCGTCCAGAACAAATGGGACCAGGCGTACACACGCCAATCCATCAAGATTACTCCAAGCAGAACGGAACGTCCCGGTGGGGGACAAGTATTCGTTGCCTATGGCCCGAGGGTTCGACCGAAAAAGGGCGGGTGAAGAGCCGGACCGGGCGGGTGTGCCTTGGAAAAATAAAAAGGGAGGCATTCAGTGGGCCTGAAGTATTGAAACAACGGGGAAAAAATGAAGCAATCGTTGCTTTCATCTGAACAGCTGGTGTACATGGGAGCTATCCCTGCACCTCCCTCCCTCATTTCTTGCCTCCCCCCCCCCCCCCCCCCCCCCCCCCCCCCCCCCCCCCCCCCCCCCCNCGCTTGGCAACGACGTTGTAAAACAAGCCGCCCCCCCCGGTGTTTGCCATCGGGATTGGGTTTTCGTCGCCTGGCAACGACATTGTAAAACAAGCCAATTCAATCCGTGAACTCGGCAACCAGGTCACCGTTTTTTTAACCTCCGTTTTTTTTTTTTGGCGGTAACCATAATGGTGGTCGAGTAGATCATGTTGTGCGGGTTCGAGAACCCTCACTCCGCGCAACGGGGATGATCGCACCTCGTTGTGTTAAAATGTTCAAGCACCCTCGAGGCAGTTACACAGTGATTACAACTGTCAGGAAGTGAAAGCACCAGAAAATAAACTAAGTCAGACGCAGCTGTCATCCGTACGCAAGGAAGTAAGCACAAGATGCCGAAAACCCTTAGCAGGATGCAGC